AATCAAATGTTTTCTTTTCTATCACAGTTTACATCTGAACACATATTTGTGGATTTTAGGGCACATTTTACAAATCCGACTGGCTTTCACATGCTTGAAAATAATATTCCCCCGAATTGTATATCCAGGCTGGAGAGACTGGAATTGGACCCAGGACCCAACCATTGAACCTTCTTCAAAGCGGCCTAAAAGGGAAGCAAACCAGCTCCTAATGACAGACTACATTATGTTGATGAACCCCAAACAGAGCCTCCATTGCTTTGCAAGTCTATTAGAGAGAGCTCTAGATTTCTGCCTTTTCTGTGCTTGAACCGCAACAGGTTTCAGGTCATGACTGCAGACTGTATATAAAAAATGGAAGTAGCACCCATTGATTTTGCAATTCCACATTTAAAAAAGTCAACACTACCACCATGGTGGGTTTCTGGCTTCCACCACGGTTTTATTATTACTGTCTTTTCAACGCTGGAGTTTATTTAAATAAATCCTGCATGTGTATCCTGCAGTCTGGAGACTGACTTGCGTTTAGAGCCAGGGCCAAGTGGCCACCTGAGGAACTGCACGGATGTAGCTGCAGATCTGCATCTCGGACAATTAGCAAAATGTAGGCTCATTTAAAAGCTGGCACAACATTTGAGCGCATTATTTTATGAAAGTAATATTTTCTTTGTAACTGCAGAGATGCATAAAGTTGAAAACAACAGTTTTTTTTAACAGATATTTCTTGTTGTCTGAAACAAGCACACAAGCTTACTCTGTCTACACTGCTGCGAAACAGTCATTGGCCCACCTTAAAACATAAATTAATTGTCATTAATCACTTCTTTTCTGTTGACTCAATAAATGTAACTTTTTGTGATAGCTTAAATCATCATTTAGAAAATACATTTTCTATTTACTCAGGCTATTTTGGATTAATATTAAAATTTGAAGCAATGCTTTTTCCCAGCACTGTAAGACAGCATTGCCCTCTGGGTAAAACGCTGCCTATGAAATGTGCTCAAAATCCCCAGACTTAGCAGCAGGCTTTTTTTTTATTGAGTTTACTGTGACACATAAATGTTTAACGGGGCTTTTGGAACATTTCAGTCCAAATAAAAACATTTAACACACGTCACAGGAAGCTGATGAATGATGATGTAAGTTGGGAAAATGTTCTAGTGCATAAAATCATCAGGAGGCAAGAAAAGTCTAAATATTTGGCCAATCAGAAAAGAGAAAATACAGGAGGAGTTTCAAACACTGACACTGCACTCATTTTTCCACAGTACAACAGGAGCATCTGAGTGTGCTGCATTCATGTCTTGCATTCTGTAAAGGGGTCGTATGCAAAGAAAAGCTGGTGGAGCTAAGCTCAGAAACTGGGCTCGGAGTCAAAAAACGAGATACAACACCCTCGTGCACACACACACACCTGCAGGGTGCACAGCAGCATCCCACTGTCTTCCAGGAGACACAGAGGGGAGGGATGTGGAGGAGCGGGTGGGTGGATATGCACCGGGTCGCCACATCAAACTCCTCGCAGGCCAGAGGAGTTCAGAGCAGGCATGTGTAACACAGCGATTCAGCATCCAGCAACTTAGCATGCAAGAGAGGGCGAGCAGATGAAAACCAGCGAGAAGCACGCAGAGCCTTGCCAATCTTTTCGGAGAAGGCGGCAGCTTCTTCTTCTTCTCCTCGCTCTTGTTGCTGTTTCTAGGCAGGCTGTTAAAACATTGAGTAACACATTTGAGCAACAGTTGGATGGGTGGAAACCTGCTGTGTATATTGTTCTACTGTGATTGCATGAAATTCCCCTCTAATTGCTCTTGTTCCTCCACACAGGCCAACAGCTGATATTGAGAACATCTGAGAGCTCTTAGTGTGTGTGAGTGTGTGTGTGTGTGTGTTTATGTGTAGAGTTGGAGGACAGCCTGGAAAATTAGGCAGCAATGTTTGACAGGTTGGACGGCTGATTGTAGCTTTCACCTGCGACTCGGTGTAGGTGGGCATAGAGGGGTCCATAAAGCTGCCATATGGAGACCATACAGACCAAAGGTGACGGGAGCCTCTGACAGACGTGCCCCTGACTTCATTTAAAGACATACATCTGATCTTTTTCTTCTGAACAATGCTGTGCTGAGGATTATCATCTTCGTAGTTTTGGAACGTTTCCCCTTAATTTGTCTTTGGAAGCTGAAAAAAGTAAAAGCCTGAAAAGAAACGCAAAGACTTAGTTTGGCATGAGAGTGGTGCGGTTAGTGCTGCACCACCCACAGAAAGCAGGTCCTGGGTTTGAGTCCCCCATCTGGTCTCTGTGTAGAACGACATAGCGTTTGACAACTCTAAATCATCTCTCTCTGTGACAGGCTAGAACCTTTCCAGGTCGCCCTCTGTGGCAGGATAAGCCCCCCCCCAAAAAAAGAAATCTGAAAAAAAATGACCCTGAACTGGATAAGAGTTACAAAAAATATAATGCATAATTTTTTCCCTCCTGTTTCTAATAAACTTCCATTGTGCGCATGACATAATCTATGCTTACACAATGACAACCTCTGTGTCGAGTTGTCATTGTGTAAGCAGCTCTATTTAGGTGAAAGTAGCATCACCAGACTGCAAACAAAGTATTGCCTCAGAATCCTAAACCTTCAGAATCTTTAGCATCAGCGTCCTCGGTCAGTCTCAGCCCTCTTTAATAACATTAACAGAAACTAAGGTGACAACACTAATTTAGGGCTGGCTGTGGCTCGGGAGGTAGAGCAGGTCACTTGCTAAACTGAAGGTTGGTGATTTGATCCTTGGCTGCTCTCTGATGTGTTCATCGGAGCAGGAAAGTTAGATAGAAAGCACTCAGGTGTAGGAAAAAACTGCTCAGTAAGACTAGAGCTATATGCAAGCACATTACATGATGTAGTACAAGACCACTTTGCTTCCATTTAAACTCAAACTGTGACTGAACCTTCAGCTACAGCTGAGGCCAAAGAGCGTCAGGAACGACCTCACTCTGTTGTTAGAAAAATATAAAATGGCAGAAAAACTGTCTGAAAGAAGAAATAATAACTTCAATTGCCGTCCTCTGATCAGACAAATGACTGGACGAGTCACATGCTGGCTTTAAAACTTTGGGAACCTCTTCTTTAACTCCTTTCTATAATATTTGAGCACATCCAAGTCTGCAGACCCAAGAGTTTCTGTACTCATAGAAACTTGTATTTCACTGCCCTCTGCTGGTTGATTAAGAACGGTTGACACTCTGGTCTCACACAGTCCAACACCACTCTGAGTTCTGATTTAAGAGTCTTAGCTTGGTATGCATAACACTTTTGAGACCTCTTCTGAAAGAAGACATGACACCAGAGGTCAGTTAATAAACAACAATATTTAACAGAAACAATTCATTTTTCTTTGAAAATATTCCTTGATGCATGCAATCGTCTTGATGCATGCTCAATCATCCAGGTAAGTAAATCTCCAAAAGTTGATTCTGTTCATCTGGACGTAGCGTTTTGTGGGAGAAACGTTTCGTCACTCATCCAAGTGACTTCTTCAGTCTCAGCTGACTGCAGGTTTCCCCAATCTTCTAAACAGTACATTTGCATAATGACTGAAAGCAGCCCACTGAAGGAACAATGGGCTGGGAGGTCAGTAATGAAGGACATCTAAAAGCTGACGTGTACCGTAAATCTACACATACGGATCAGTATTTAAGGTTTGACTCTCATCATCCACTGGAGCACAAACTGGGTGTCATCAGGACGCTACAACACAGAGCGAACACCAAAACGTTTTACCCACAAAACGCTACGTCCAGATGAACAGAATCAACTTTTGGAGATTCCTTTTGAAATTTACTATTTAATGATGGCGGAAGTGGGTCCTTGGTTCAAATCCACCTACTGGCTGGGTTTTGTCTGTGTTCTCTCTGGCTTCCTCCCATAGATGTGTATTTAGTGAACTTGGAGCTTTTACATTGCAGATAGGTGTAAATGGTAAATGGACTGATTCTTATATAGCACTTTTCTACTCTCCCGGAGTACTCAAAGCGCTCTATACAACATGCCAATCACACCCATTCTCACAAGCATTTTCTCTGTACTTAGCGCTTTCTGACTACATTCACACTCCGATGGAAGCATCGGAGAGCAACTTGGGGTTAGTATCTTGCCCAAGGATACTTGACATGCAGACTGGAGGAGCCAAGGATCGAACCACCAACCTTCCCATCAGTAGGTGACCTGTGAATGGTTGTCTCTGTGTTAGCCCTGTGTCACATTGGAAACCTGTCCAGTGTGTTCCCCACCGTTCATCCTATGGCAGCTTGATCAGGCTTCACCCGACACAGACTATACGCAGTCCTGTGAAAAAGCAATTTCCAAAGATCATAGTAATTTGATCTTTTTTTAAAAAAATGTTTTTTTATTCTTTTTTAACAAGCAATAAGTGGTAATCACTGTAATGAAATCAGTTCACTATAACTATCAAACGATGGAAACTAGTTGGAACTAAGCTGACTTCTCAGCTAAAAGGCTTTTATTTATTTTTTAAAAATCACAGTTTACTCATTTATGCATGAAGGTAGGTCCTCTTTGTTCAAACAGAGAGGCTGTGAGCTTCAGAGTAAGCATGGAGCCAAGCTGCACCCAGCAGGTGAGAAGCTCCATAGAGCAGATACTCCTCACATGACCGCTGGTCAGTGCTGGGCCCAGATACAGGCATGAATCGATGCCCGGCTTTAAATCCAAAAACCACCATCACCACACAAAAGTGTACGAGCTCTCCCTGTGATGTCAGTGAACCTCAAGGTCAGATCTTACACAGACAAATGGATAAATCAGAACTTTAATGTTTACGCGAGACAAATCATTTTCACTATCAAAGAAGGACATTGCCACTGCGACATCAGCCGCGTGAGTTGAGGATCACTCCAAAAACACAAGGGTTTGACAGGAAACTGGAGTGCATGTAGTGTGTCTGTTTGGTCAGCTGAAAAAGATGAAAGAAAAATGAAAAAACCAAGAATGTTCAGATATCAAACTTTCCAGGTTTATTTCTAGAATACATCTTTATATCACAAAACAGTCTCCAAAATGCAGACTAGGATCTGTATATAAACTGTACACAAAGCAAGGCACTATACACTGAAAGAATTAAAAATCAAACATTTCATCATCATTCTTTGTTTGCCTTTAATCAGGTCTGTATCTGTCCCTCAGTAATGACACCGTCATTCATATCAAGAGCTTCATTTGATCAGTAAACAGCAAATGGTGATCTGTACAGCTGGAACATGAGACACAAACCTCTGCAACATTTATTATACACTTTATTTTGTTAGGGTTTCAATATCTGTTGAGATTTTTCTTTTTTTTTAAAAACATTCTACATGGATGTAATATAAATATAATTTATTTTTAATGCACAAACATACATAGCAGAGAGTATCATGTGGAGGGAGTTCAGCAGGCTGACAGACCTGCCGACACCAACATGGCTGCAAGGCTGACAGTGTAAGGTGCTCCTGCTCAAAGTACACAAGTACATACATTAACAGAGTGGGAATTTACATGACTGCCATTAAAACATGCATCCACTCACAATCCTCTCCTACAACCAAAACACTGGAGTATCTTTTCCCCACACATCCAGGCAGCCCCACCCTTGGAGTCTGAGTTTTCAGATGACATCAGCAGCGCCCAGTTTTTCATCATTCAGAAAAGTCCTTTGGCTTTCTTCAAGTTCATCTGCTTCCAGCCGGGCAGAGCGCCGAACTCCTCTTTGCTCATCTCCAGGGCTCTCTGTGGGATCAGTCACACTCAGAATCAAACAGACACGACGCTCTGCTGCACACACTGATCGCAAACTCAAAGTACTCAGTCCTGTAGCCTGCACTGTGAGTGACAAACATCTGAACACATTCATGCATCAGTGACTTTAAAGACACATTCGAGTTTCCAAAGTGCTCACAACTCCAGGATTCAGTTCACACGCGTGTGAGTTGTGAGTGAACAGCCTGTAACCAAACATGCTATAGTAGAAACACGGTGTTAGAAAGGAGAGGAAATGGGTGACGATGCTGAACAAGGAGTGAACATCCCAAATCAGACAACTCACCTTCCCATAAGCCCCCACACCCTGGAGGGTGGAATCAGTGAAACAGGTAAGTTCATGAAGGGACAAAAGGAGCGAAACATGACTCCATTAAAAACAAATGGAAGAAGTTGGAGAGTCAGAAGGAATGAAAGGAGGAATAAACAAGAGAAAAATCCTTAAAAAACAAACAGAAGTGAGAAGTAACGTTTGACTCATACACTGTCCAGCTGTTTGAAAATAGTCAAACTACACGCTGGCTGCAAAGATGCATGACCTCAGCTGAGAGTCACAGGTAAGAAAAAGACAAACAGAGAGGATACGATGGAGAATCAAAAGGTGCAACAGCAGTACTCATGCTCTGGGGAAGGTTGCTAACATTCTGGGTCATTAAACCAAACCAATGACTTGAAAGACAATTTCCCTGAAGTGCTGACTGAGCTGCAAAATTAGGAGGCGATCCTGTCTTGGTTCACCACAACAAGCAACTACTTAATGTACTGTATGCAGCACTTCAGTAGAGGTTGTACTACCTTTTGTTGCCTATGTATGAATGAACTTAAAACAACTTAAAAACAAACAAACTGAGGTTCCTTCCTGGTGCTTCCTCACCTCCTATGACAGATTTTCTGGAAAATTAAAAGGCAGCTCCTTCCCTAAGTGCCTGTCTTGTGCTCTCTTGCAGTGTTTTACAGTAGTGAATACTAACATTTAGTATTCTAAAACTACAGACTACAGTCGATGTAGTCAATCTATGTTGTGACTGGCACAACAGAGTCCAGAGAAACTCTATGAGGACACAAACTTATGTGGCTTCAGAGCGGTTAGCTCGTAATGCCCAAGTTACCAGGTCAATTAATGCTGACCATCATTAGCTGGAGGGAAGCTAGAGCTAATAAAGCCCTTCTGGCCAAATTTAAAAGTGGAGGGCTGACATCAGCAAGTAATTTGATTCATGGTGGTGACCTAAATCGACCCAAGGCTGTTGTTCTTCTGACTGAAATACTCTAACTCACAAGCCAACACAGACCAACTTTACAAAAAAAGATTGTTGTCAGCTTAGTTGGAAAATGTTTTCTTAGAGACTTTTTGACAAGTCATTTATCAGTTCTAAAACGAAGCAACCTTTAAAATAAATCACGGGCTCTTCACACTGGACATTCTTACCTGGAAGTCCTCATCAGACAAGTAGACCTCCAGGCGGAGGGGATCCACTCCCTCAGGCAGCGGCCGAGCTAGGAGATCGACCAGCGGATATGTGGTCTTACAGAGCCGGGCCAACACATCCTCCACCAGAATAATCTGATGATAAATTTCTGCCTCCTAGAAACCAAAACATAATTTTTTTGAGGTGATATCCAGACGGACCTGTATGCGAGTCTTTGACTTGTGCACTATTTGCTTCATATGTTGATATTAGTACGCACCCTCTCAGTGATCTCAGCGATGTCCTCTCTGTGCTCCCAGCTGGGGAACATGTTTGTGAAGGTGAGTGGCTCCAGACCAGCGTGGATCAAATATGCTTTGGGAGGCTTCTTCTCATTCTTTTCTGAGGAGAAAAAGCAAGAAATGCATTTTTAAAACGAGCAAACATCCTTCATTAACAACCAAGATTTCATTTATTTATCTGGGTTCCAAGATCCTGGGGCTGGTTTAGCAAAAGTGTCCACAACTACTGGATGGGTTGTATATTTATTAGGAAGAAAGTGCAATACCTCTGCAGTACTGCAGAACCGTCTCCATGGCACACTTTCTGTCCGAGTCCCAGCGGATTCGGGCCGAGCCAGTGCTTTCACTGTCCTGAGGCCACCAGCCCTGCCACAGGTACACCTCATGGTGGTTGTCCACCAGGAACAGGGCTGATAAATAGGTGGGAAAAAAAAAAGACGATCACATCTGGTATGTATCATTGTCAGATTGTTCAAAGTGTTCAGTTAAGTGGTCATTTTTGTTCAGTGCAGCGCTGGACATGACTGATGGATTTGTCCTAACAGTTGAAAACCTAGACCTGCTGGTTCTGGTGAAAACTCTCAGCACACACTAAAGTTGTCATTCCTAGCATTCATTTCAATGTCTCATTGTGGGATGTGCCTCAATCTGTATCCCTTCACAAGCATTTATGTCCTCATGCAACTCTTGATTGGCTGGTGATTGCAATGACCATGTTGGACAGAACCATCCACCTTGTTATCACTCCAGCTAGCAGTGACTGAACCCTCTTTCCTCTGGGCTCAACTGTGCGTTGGAACAAAGTATCGAGTAAAGACACCAGGGCTGCTTGTTTTGCTTGAAAAGTCTCCAGCGATGGGACGCTTCTGCTGCAAGTGTAGCCTCAAGCAATGCTGAGGTCTGTGCCCTTACTGCTACTACTGAGATAAGCTTTTCTGGCAAAAACAAACAGCAATAATATAGAGAGAACCCCAACAAGAAGACAACCTCCTTTGAGCAAGCACTTCGCAACAGTAGGAAGGAAAAACTCCCTTTTAACAGGAAGAAACTTCTGTCAGAATCAGGCTCACAGGGGAACAGCCATCTGCTGTAACCAACTGGGGGTGAGGGGAGGACGACAGGAAAAAAGATACAAAAAAGACAAAAGAAGTGCTTACCCTGAATAATGACTGCATAGTAGTGCAAGCTACTTAATGGTAGTTGGTTATTGTGGTCACCAACCAATCAGCAGCCAATTAAAGGAGATAAATGGTTTATGTGAACCATGCAGGGAGTCGCACCCCATAGTGAGGGGTCTCATGCATCTCATTCTGAGAACTGGAGTTATGGAAGTAACTTTAAGTTATAGGGAAGTGATTCTGGCAGACATTACAAACATTTAATCCTTAATCACACAGCTATGAGATTCTACTTCTTTTTCAATTATTAAAAATATTTGGTCTTCTCTGCTGAGTTTAGCTGAATTTCTAAAGCAGTTTTCATATTAAAAATACTTTATCAACCATGTCCAATGTGCGACCCTTACTTGTAGCACTCTGGATGCAGCTGATGACATCAGCAAACTTAAAATCTTGAGCACAAGTTGATTGTCACATCCCTCAATAGACAAATACATGTAGAAAGTTTTTGTTCAGCCTGAAAACCTGTTTCAAGAAAACTCTGGACTTGTGTTAAGAGCTTGTGTTACCCTTGTGTTAAAGCTGCTTCAAAATGAGTGCAGACACCGTGTGTGTCTACTGTACCTGGTTGGGAAGCTGCATACAGGTCCTCCTGTAGGAAGGGCATGGAGTTGACCTGCTTGGGATCTCTGGCGGGATAGAGAAATTCCACAGCTGCAAACTCTCCTGAACTGCTGCTCAGCTGGTACAGATGAGGTGTGAAATTAAATCTGCCTGGATCTGAGGGTCAGAGGGAGAAACAGACAACGAAAGGACAAATTTACAGCTGAAAAAAGTTATAAAAGAATTAATACGTACAGTTACTTAAGTGCTGTGTTTTTGTTGTATACTGTACTAATACACAGAGCTTAAATATGTTTTTTCTACCACAATCTAAAATCTGAATTATATGAACAGCTGTGAAATCACAGTAATTCGTGTGGGTTTTTTTAAATAGCTGGATACATTCAATGGTTTTTGCTTTTGAAATTTTTTTTAACAAATATATTGTTCAAAAAATAAATGGATAAAAGGAATTTGAAATCACATCAGATTTGATCATATCCCGATACAACCTAGGTTACGTATTAGGAACAAAAGGATGCCACATCCTTTGATGGAAATGAAAATTACAATATCAAACTACCCACAGCTGAAATCAAAGACAGCCTGTAAATGAAAGTGAAAAAATGATGCAGCAAGCCTGTCCATTTAGCTGAGATTTCATTGGAGCAACTCAAAAATGGCACTCAGTAGTTTGTATGACTCCTACATGCTAATATGCATGCCTGACAATGTTGGAGCATGTGACTAATAAGACAATGGATGGTGTCCTGGGGGATCTCCTCCCAGATCTGGCCCAGCCTCTCACTGAGCTCCTGGACAGCCCGAGTTCAACCTGGTGGCGTCAGATAGACCACAACATAACGTCCCACAGATGTTCTATTGGATTTAGGTCAGGCGAGCGTGGGGGCCAGTCAATGGTGTCAATTCCTTTATCCTCCAGGAACTGCCTGCTTACTCTCACCACATGATGCCCAGGACTACCTGCACCAGCGCAAGAATCTAATCCTGATACTTAATAGCAGTCAGAGCGCCGTTGCCATTTTGTTACCGTTTTATGGTATCATGTGACAAGAAGATGATTTCATGGCCACAATAAATGTCATATTTAACAATATTATCCGTAGTCTCCATCAGAACAGGACAATAAAGAAACAATATTATGTGAGGCTGCAGTGTTTGGACTTGCAGGCACAGATGAAAAAAATAAGTCCATGGATCTGCATTAAGTGTTTAGCTTGTGATATTTTCCTAACATCAAAAAAAGATGACTTCCAGTTTTTATTATTACAGAATGACATGCATTTTTGGAGGTTTGATGTAAAATAATTCTGCTCTCTTACACAAATTAAATTCTTCCCAAAGCTTCCCAGATCTGGATCCGTATCATCTGTGCACATTATTATGTCGTTTATACTTTTCTAAGTATTAAAACTGCTATAGATCAAGATTTGCACTTGACTGCTGAAATTACTCCTTTTTTTTTGGCGTACTAAGTAATAAAAGCCATCGGTTAATTAAAAACACTAAAAATATCTTTCAGGGGAATAACCTCTGAACAGATATGATATTTACTAGTTCAGTGAAGATGAATATTGAGTTCATGTGCTCAGTAATTCCAGGAGCAAATCAGCATTTTTGCCTTTAATAATTTATTTACTGATGTTTTAGAGGTCCCTTAGAGGTAATCAGGAACAAATTTTGGGCTTAAAAGACTGAAAATCTAATCTCTGTCGTCATGAGTTGAAAAAGCATTATATATTATAATGCTATTCTGCATTATTTTATGCTAAAGTGTGATTTAAAATCCTGCTTTGAACACTGACCAGCACAGCTTAAGCTTAGAATATCATATTTACTAGTGATACTATTCAGAAATGCCTGAAATGAGTGAAGTACTTTCTCTACAATTGTGAATGCAGGACTTTTACTTGGAAAGGAGAATTTTGACAAGTGTTCCCACCTTGCAGCATGCAGTCGTAGGCTTTCCTGTCCCGCCTCCCGAGGGCTTCCCAGAAGCCCGTGGGCTCTGCTCCCTCATCACATTCCTGGATGGTGACCTTGCTGCTGCTGTGAAGGCCGGCTTCCAAAGGACAACTGCAAAAAAACTGAGTGTGTCAGACTACGGGGTCACAACTGAACTCCTGACAAGTGGAAAACAGAGGTTTGCACTCACTGTTCTTTGATCTTATTGGCAGCAGTGCGCGCCACCTCCCGCGTGTGCACCTGAGACTTGCAGCCATGCCACAGGTAGATGAGGGCCTGGCTGATGCTCAGCAGCACCATGGAGACTCTTGAGCGCAGGCTGCTGCAGTGACAGGCGACCTCCAGCAGATGGCCCTCTACCTCCACCTCCCCACGCACACAGTACAGACGCCAATCATCTGAGACAAAGAGGGCAGATGAACGGAAGTGAACGAGATGGCCAAGTTATTTGGAGGTGTTTAAAACAAAGAAGTTAAAAGCTGTCCACTGTAGTAGGCTTACTCTGCGAATTTTCCTCCTCCTCTTCCCTCTTTCCTGAGTGGATGACCATCCCTCCCTTGAAGCACTGCAGGAAACATGGAGGCTCCTTTCCCTGCTGGACTTGAACCTAAAAAACCCCCAAAAGATGTCAAAGCAATCATACTCCCACAAAATGAAACTGTAGACTAAGAAAGGCAGGAAACAAATTTCTATTCCATGCAAACTTGGTCTTTCAGACACTCTTGTTGTACCTGTGCTCCACGCTCTTCATCCAGCTCCACCGTCATGAGTGCTGATGTTCCTTTCTCGCTGACGGTGGAGTTGCGGCCCTGCCAGAAGAAGTAGCAGCACTTTTCCTTCCCCGCTCCTGTCGTCTTCAGCTGCTCCGGGTTCTGTCTCTTCCCAACTGTAAGGGAGACATTCATCTGAGGTCTGTGTCTGCACACGGCCACAAAACCACGATTCATGAACATACATGCTGCTCCTCAGTGTCCTAGTAGATGCACCTGTGATATAAATGTGAAAATCCTAGGTCCTCTCACCTTGAGGTTAAAGTCATCAGGATTCAAACTCGCCTGAGAATTTTAGTAGATCCATCTACGGTATGAATTTAAAAAAAAAATCCTGTTCAAGTTATGAAGATCCGAAATGATTGTCATCTCTGAGCTGATGAGAGGTTTTTGTCTGCAGGCATGAAGCTGGTGTGTGACTCAATGAACAAACGAGCTCGCTAATAAATCGATAAATGTCTGATCTGCTTCGAACTTGGCAAGCTTTCTGCAGAGTCCAATTTTAGGTCATTTGGGTAATGTGTGGTCTCAATCTTTTCAATGTTGCTAGGCAATAACCACAGAGAATATAGCAGATTATGTAACAGAATAACAAGTCAAATTTAAATGTCTGTTTCTGTATCGATTTTTTAGTCAGTGCCCTTTTCCAAAACTCTTTGACAGAGACCTGGTGCTCGTGAATCGACATCTAGGGGGAATTCCACAACAGCAATGATACCGCTGGAAGTACAACTTCCAGGAGAACAAAGCTTCTTAAAACCCTGTTCTGAGGCAAAGGCAGCCAGGCAGCCTTTAATCAGATGTGACTGGTGATTTTATACATCTGGTTTTTATGTCTTGGTGGACGTTTAAATTAGAGTTCATTTAGATGCTGCTTCAACATAACCGCTCAAATGTGCTTCTGAGGTATTTCAAGAAGGCTGCGCAGCAGTGAGACTGATTTATAGACATTTGATCAAAGCCGAAGATATCACAGACCGACTGTCACATAATTCTTCTGATCTTGGAATTGAGTATAGACCATAGTTAGACCCACCTACAAAGCACAGACTGATTGTATGAGAGATTAAGACCATCACCTTTGCTACTGCTTATATTCTGAAAAAGGTCCCTATAAACAAACTAAATCTCATACCATTCTCACATGCTAACTATGTTAGTGTGGAATTTTGGATGTAGCTTACAGGATAATATTAGTAATAATATACAAGTAGTATTACAGAATTGACAGAACAGCATTTGAGTATTGGGAAAAAACAGTAGTGTACCACCACGGCACCAGACACAGCACTACTCAATTAAAACACAGCAGACAGGTCCAGCATAACCACTGATTTTCTGTGGCTGTCTAAAACTGATCACAGCAGTGGTGAAACCAACTCTTTCTTTCCTCCTTGTACTCTCCCCCTCTTGTATTCTAACAAGCATTTAGTTTGTTTAATCTGTAACATAAAACTGGAGTTTGTGGTATTCTGCTTCACAAGTCAAGAGCAGCGGCAGGAGCTGAGCCAGCTTCACTGAATCTGCAGACATTTGGCTGCGTGGTACATAACTGATTTCACCAACAGTCCTCCCCAAAGGTGTACTTTGGTGTTCTTGGAAGTACTCTGAGTCAGAGAGGATGTGCTATGTGGTTAAATTGGCCTAGATCTGCAGTAACAGACATAAAATCAAGGATCCTGTGGTTCTGTGGTTTAGGTAAACTGGAAATAAATGTATCAGTATTGTAGTCAATACTACAACTCACTCAATAAGACAACTTTTAGCAGTGGAAAAAGCAAAACATTATGTGCAACCTCTGCATACAAATGAAGAAATTATAACAAACATGACTGATATACTGTCTCCACAACTCCATCTGCTGGCCGGTTTGAATGATTGACTCTTCTAAACACATCCCTGCACAAGTGGTAGATTGGACACAATCTACACAAACAAGTCTGCTTTGACTAAAGTGGTCCTTTAGGAATGCAGTTCATCAACTACTGCAAAATTACAAGGTTTACATGAATATATGTGCTCAGTACGCACCAGCAGTGCTGACCATGTATTTCCACTTCACTACATAGGTGTCACCCTCGTGGAACTGGCCAATGCTCTGGCGCGGCAGGCGGCTGTAGTCGAACTCCAGGATGTGCCAGACCTCCACTGCCAGAGTGCTGATCTCGTAGCTGCGCCACTCCTCTGCCTCCACCAGGCCGTAGCCCCGGCCCACATTGAAGCCATCCAGAATGGTGCAGACGGGTGTCTGATGGAGGGTCAGCATCAGTGAGGTATTGCACGCACTGGGCTGATCACGGGTGGGCTGCTCCTGGTGAGGATTGAAGTAGAAGAAAGAAATAAGTGTGCTGAATCTGCTGAAGCATGTTACTCCCGCAAAAACAAAAAATGAGGATGTAGGTAGAATAAAGTGTTTGCTGATACCTTTTGATCAGTACTGTGATCGCTGCTGTTTTTTGTAGGACTGGGAGTTTTCCTGGAGTCGCTCCAGTCCAGGAACTTTTCTTTGAACAGGGTGGTCTCATTGTGTTGAGTCAGTCTGCCAAACACTGCCCAGTCAGGGCGACCCTGGCCTTTTCTACATGTGAAACGGACACAGTGTATAGATGATGCATTATTATTAAAACTAATGAAGATGCCTGAAACACACTCCTGCAATGTCAGTTAATTTCTGAGGCGTTACTTAGACCAGAAAGTAAAAGAGAAAACATGACCATCTCTTCAAAGCTCTCTGCACAAAGGGCAAAAACACCATGTGTATGCAGACTTCCTGTGATTGACATTCTCAATATCTGTACATAACCATGCATCTAAGCTGTAGTATGTGTTTCCATACTTGGGTATGAGTGGGTTACACTCTCCTGGGTCCAGTGGGTTGATGTCACAGTTTGTATAATCAAAGGTGCCATTCCACAAGTGCTTCGCCAGCTGGAAAGCCACCTTCCTCTGCGCCAAAGTCACTTCCTTCCCGTGCCAAATGTACATCTCACTGCCAAAGTCAAAAACCAGAACCTGCAGAAAACAGAACGTGGTGTTTTCTCCAGAGCATTTATATCACCACTAGAGGGAGCCAAAAGTCATTTTAAATCTTACATGCTTGCATATGATTTTAAAACTTTATTTTAGATTTGAGATGGATTTACAGTTTGCAACAGTTTTAACTTAATTTGTCTCACTTCCTTAGGATTGAGCAGACAACAGCGAGGCATCTTGGCCCAAAAATCATCATCTGGGACCAGTTTGTCATCCATCAGGCGATAAATGCAGTTGGTCTCCACAATGGCGCCCTCGTACAGCTCATCTTCATCTGGCGTTCCTGCAGCTGCAAGAGCAAACATGGAGGCATTGGATTTCATTTTATTGAAACAGTTTCTTGGGGTTTTTCACATCTGAATCCTTACACTGATAACTCGACTGCCCCCCCAGGATCTTCCAGAACTCC